CAGACCGAGAGGAGGGAAATGTGTTCATGTCTCAGGAGTAAAGGTCGGAATGAGGAGAATATTTTATATCAAATGTTTCTACTTGTACATTTCTTTAGCGAACATTTCTGCCATGCTCTGAGGTGAAGGACACAATAGGAACCATTAAAGCTTTTTATTACAAGGTTGCTGCTGCTGCACTTTTGCTCCTTCATCTTATAATAGGAAGACCAGCAACAAGCAGGCAGTTCAGCTGGTTTAAATGCACGAAATAAAATATGTGCTTCTTTTCACTAACATCCCGGCTGCGAGTATGTATATCAACAGACAAGCTTAACTATCGAGTAATTTGTTGCTGGAAAAGAAGCTTTCTTAGTTTTTGCTTCTCAAGTGTAATCATTTGCAGAATTTGCTTTGCCTTATCAGTCTAAATGAAATAGTTGGCATTTCAAACTTAGAGTCGGTGAGAAACCAGAAAAATTCAAGACATGTAAGCAAAGAACTCTGTCTGGGGAACTTTTTAACTGTCTTAAATTAAAAATAAATATATCAGTGATTTTATTTCTAAATGTTTGCAATTTCCTAAATACATTCAAGGAACATTGTCATTTCATCAGGATCCAATCAGTTAAATAAATCTTGATTTATTTATTTTTAGTCTATAAGAACACAATAATTTAAAAACAAGAAAACAAGCAAAACAACAAAAAAATCCATCACTTTTACCCAAGCCTGGCCATAGCCTGTCCCAGTTTGTCACTGGTGAAGGGTGCACCCAGGTCACCAGTCTATCGTGAACTAACCAATAAAGGGGAACAACCACTCACACTCACAGCACGTGACAATGCAACAATCAGAGGCAGAAAACCAATCACATCTATTTTTACCACAACATAACCAACAACCGGAATGGCCTGCATTTGTATAGCGCTTTTACTCAGTCCCTAAGGACCCCAAAGTGCTTTACACTACATTCAGTCATTCACCCATTCACACACTGATGGCAGCTACATTGTAGCCACAGCCACCCTGGGGCGCACTGACAGAGGCGAGGCTGCCGGACACAGGCGCCACCGGGCCCTCTGACCACCACCAGTAGGCAAACATGGGGTTAGTATCTTGCCCAAGGATATTTGGCCAGGAGGCAGCCTGGGATCGAACCACCGACCTTCTGATTAGTGGCTGACCTGCTCTGCCACCTGAGCTACAGCCACCCCAATGTAATGTGGAATGTAGAAAGTGATTTGAAGAACTTGTATGGCACAAAATACATATTTACATAGTTTTCACCAAACATCTGGTTGGTTACATTGGTGTAAGAAGTACATAATAATAAATAACTGCTTTGCATGACTAGTTCTTCATGTCAAAAAGACATTAGTATCATCCAAGCTGTGCAAAGGAACCGAAACATTTATTTTTATCCACATTTTTTCTTTTAATCCCTACTTTATAATGTTTTGCAGTGAACGACACGTAAACTTGGGACTCTTGGACAACCTTAATACTAACAATGTAGGGATAAAATGAGTGAACTGTTCAGTTATTTTTAAGCCTTATAGTGTAGCTGGCAGATAACCTGGTCAAGACTTCCATGTCTATTTGCAGGCAGATAAATTCAAAAAGCATCATGATTGCTAATGGCTTCAAGCTTCTCAATGACTTCATCAAATGTCATCCCTCTCATGGACTCTTTAGCTGCGTGTAGTTGGGGTTTTAATTAATGATGGTAAAACCTCCTTTATTGTGATCAGTCAGTAGTACCCTAACCCATGTAGTACCAACGTAGATGCTAATCAGAAATCTGGAAGCTTCTAGTACCCAAAACCGTGTCCTTTGCATACAGATTCTAAGAGGTGTCTAAGATATATAGATATCTTTAGACTGAACTGTGCAAATTGGGCACTAGTTTGGGTTGAAAACTTTCTGACCTTTTCTTCTAGACAGACTTTTATGTTAATCTGAATAAGAACATTTTTAATGTCTGAAATCTTTGTATTAATCTTCTTCATTTGCTAACAGCTTAGTCTGGGAATTTGCTGAGGTTTGAATGAAGGAAAATAGGTGAAATAGAGTTAGTCAGTCAGTTCATGATACAAGTTTTCAAACTGAGGCTGCTTTCCCACAAATGAATCAACTGTAAGCAAAAATCTATCATTCTATAAATCCTCTCTCTCTCTCTGTCTACTATATATACACACACATATTAAATGACAGTGCCTACTATAAGGGGAAAAAACATCTTCAAGCTGATCTTTATATTTCCCTGCAGCAGCTGTTGTCAGGTTGGCCGTCGGTCTGTCACATTTTCATTAATCGAATATTCCTTGAATATCTTGAATACCTCACCAGGCTCATTTGAACGGCTGCTGTCTTATCATACATGAAGCAGGCAGTGTTCATACAACCTGTAACATTACTTTGAATTAAGGAGGTAAAGATATGAGGCCTGAGTGGCGCATACTTGTGACATCACTAAATATTAACTTGTCTTAAAGAGACACCACACAGCTGTCACTGTTACATATGCATAGAAAAGTGTCTTCTCTTCTACGTTGTCTGATATGTGCAGACGCCACACTAGTTCATCCCTTGATTGTCTTTTTTTGCCTGAATGTTTGGTGTTACATAATGTAATAACCAAAAATGGTCAGCTCCAAGGACTGGACTGAATATGAGTGAAAAGGGATCCAATCTTACAGAAAAAGACCTTCTGAAAGATTTTCACTTTTTTACAATCACAAGAAAGTCTGGGTGCTCGCACAAGACATTTGCACAGTACCACATCGCCAGTATATCAAAAATAAACTAACTGTGACATCATGATGTTCTACAAAAACATCATGATGTCATGATGTCATCATGATGCCGTTACACAGCAGCATTGCTCAATGAAAAGAAGTGAACATATGATTTGGTGACATGAATCTTTGGCACCCACCTGTAAAGTCACTGCTGTTTGAAAACCATGGGTGTAAATTTCAGCTTGACTTATTGATGGAGGCTTATGGTAATGCATGCGGTAATTTGAGCTGAAAGTATGTGTTATATATTTTCATGATAGAAGGTCACACAAAATGCTTTCATTGGAAGATCTGAATAATAATCCATATAAACTTGAGGTTAGGGGTTTTATTAAAATTTTACCCCTATTTTCTATTTCATTATTCCTATTTTGAACACCTAGTTCCTGTGCACTGCAAAATACACCAAAATTGATCAATGCATGGTGCTGTGGTGAAAAGATTTTTCAATATCTATTTAATAAAGGCTGGAACAAAACAAAACGAGGTCAGACCTCCTAAAGTGAGGTCCCAAATTTTCACAATATTGATTCAGTGAGCCACAGATAAAGAGCTGGCATATACGTGTTCATGAGTGAAATAGGAAAACACACTTGTACACACAGATAAAGTATTTAAAGAGGGAGTCTTTTTGGAGCCTTAGGCATAGTGTGAGAAATAAATATTTGATAGGAGAGCGACCTACTTCATGTGCCCTGAAAAGTTATTTGTCTTTTCCTGCCTCCCGCCACCTCTAAGGCCTCCATTCTTAGGCCCTGCAGCAGAGAAGGCCAGAGATAAAGACGGAGATAGTCACATTTGAAATGAAAGTAGAAAAGGAGAAAGAGGTGGGCATGGCCAAAGAATTAGAGAGCAGATTAAGATGTGAAGCAGAGAGGTGGTAATTGTTCAGCTGCTGGAGGCAGCTAGAGAGCCCATTCATACAAGTAATCTTATTGGTTGAATTAACATCTCACTACTTCAGGGCTGCTGGCTAATACAACAAAATAACACTGATGTAAAACCCTCAAGCAGATCAGAAAATATGTCTAATAGTATGCTGGAGTTTTACTTGATATCATGCAGGTTATGTTTTTTTGCTTGTTTTGTAAGATGTGTTTAAAGTTGACATTTGATAACTTACAGACACATCGCCTGTGTACATTATGAGAGAGTGCCCCCCCCCCAGCCTGGTTCTGCTGGAGGTTTCTTCCTGTTAAAAGGGAGTTTTTCCTTCCCACTGTTGCCAAAGTGTTTGCTCTTAGGGGGTCATATGATTGCAGGGTCTACCTTACAATATAAAGCGCCTTGAGGCGACTGTTGTTGTGATTTGGCGCTGTATAAATACAAATTGAAATGAATTGCCAACGGGACCAAATTATGCCCCACATGAGTCCCCATTATATAATTTTGCATCTGCAAATCCTACGTTTGCTTCGTTGGACAAACTTAAACTGCATGGCTCCGTGACTTTGTTATTCTTATTTTTTTTATTGCAATACATCCTGATATTACATCCTGATGAATGGTGTATAGTAATATCTACACCCCAATGTTCAAGTGCCTCAATGTTCCTCTCATCGGGGCAGTGCTTGACCTTTAATATCTTTGAAACCCAGGGAAGGGATGAGGGGTCAGACTCTCCTTTCTGGGGTTGCAAAAGCAATCCAGGTTGTACAAAAGCCTATGAGAAAATAGTTTTGTCTTTATTCGAGTTTCCTAATGCATTTATGTTACCAGTTGCTCGTTTCAAGTATCTGGCCTACAAACCTTTCAGTTACCTGTGGTAACCACTGGTCACGAGGGAAAACTGTGTGTTCCTGACTGGTTGGTGAACGGTTGCTCTCGAATGTTAAAGCCCCATTCATGCAGGGCTAGAGACTGGTCAGTGGGCCCCTGGCAATCACTCATCACTAAGGAAAAGTGTGCGTTCTGCTACCAGTTGGTCGCTGGAAGTTGTTGACAGTCGTGAAACTGGATTTCAAAGAAATGAGATTCTACATTGAAAACCTTTTGTTGGATTTTGTTACTAGCAGGTTACTGTGGTTCCCAGTATTTGCATGATGCTGACTTGTGATACTGAAACTGTAAAAAGAGTGATGCAATTTTTTAAAGACAGTCATTGACCAAAGCTCAGCCTTGGCACTTGTTGCATCGAATCAGTACATTGCATACGGGCAGGTTATGGTGTTCCTATGAAACAAAACACAAACTCAGACAAGACTCGAGGTATTTTCACAACAAAATTTATTAGAAGAATAGTGGTTTTGAAAAGAAGGTTCTAGCATCCAGTGAATACTACCTTACACAACATTACAGCTGAAATGTGTGGCAAAAATGGCAATTTTCTTTTTTCTTTTTTTTTCTTCCTTTTTTACCAAATTGAATATAACATAACCAGTAAAATATTTTACACATGCACAAAGACAGATATAATCAGCGTCGCCTGATATTCAATGCAAAATAAAGTAAAAAAAAAACAAAAAACAAAGGAACTCAAATCATCATCTTTAATCTTTTTATATAAAAAAAATCACAGACATTATGAGATGATTTTTTATTCATTAGCCCAAACAAAAAAAAAATCAGATTTTGAATTCAAAACAGGAAGAAAGGGGGGAAATAAAATTGTCAGTCAAACTAAAACCGATTATTGTGATCCTTGTTAAGTGCTCATTTACATGGACATTAATAACAGAAGTCTAGAAGAATAAAAGTCCAACTCACAACGTACAAAATAGAATGAAAACAAACGAAAAACAAATTGTACATTGTACATAAATTAAACTACAATATGAGAAAATATTTTAAATTAGTTTTTTAGTCAAACTGTAAACAGTAGATATTGAAAAATGAGGTCCATCGGGGTATTTGGAGAACCTGTATGTAAGTGTGCATGCATGTGTGTATGTGTGTTTATGAGAGGTACAGTCCAGGTGGGACCAAACCGTGAAAGGGGGCTTGAGCGTCCTGAGCATCGGCACAGCGCCCCCCCGAGGGCCCGCTGGACTGAAGGAATGAGGTATATCGTCAAACCCAAAAACAAAATCTCAGTGGAAAAGAGGAAAACAAAAAAAGAAGCCCAGCAGACCCCGTCTCGGGGCGTCCAGCCACCCGTTAAGAAGCGAGGTGAGATTACGAAATCTTAGAAACCTCAGCAGGACAAAAACCAAGAACAAGAAAAGAGGTTTGTTGTTCTATCCAAACTAAAGTCTAAACCCCTGGACAACACTTCTTGCATCTACCAAATATTACAAGCCTTTTTCCAAACCAATCAGATTTATTTCTATCACAACAAAATCAGGTCACTACCAAAACCAACATTAGGAATGTAGAAAGTAATTGCAAGAGCTCTAACATGAAATACAGCTTTACATAGTTCTCACCAAACATCAGTGATGTGATTGTTGTAAGAGGTACAAAATTTAGGCAATATGTATACTACACTCCTGTCATCAAGACCAGGCCAATAAATAACTGCTTTGCATGACTAGTTCTTAGCATAAAACAGACATTGGAATCTGCCAAGCTGTGCGAAGCAACACAAACACTTAACATCCAGCAGAGGCATCAACCAATCACAGCAGAGATGAGTGGCTGTCTTAAAAAAAACCCCAGAAATTAAAAAACAAAATCACAGAACAAATGTGCACAACATCACTGAAAACTGCCCAGCAGATATTTCTACCCAAGTTAGACTCGCCTCGTTCCTGAACACAGCCGCAGGTTTGGTGACACAAGAGTCAGCTTAGCTTTGTAGAGAGGGTTACTAGGTTTTCCCTGAAGCTTTAGAAGAACTGAAGGCAGATCCATCACATTTCTCTGTTGTGTGTGGCTCCACAGGTGGTGGAGAAAAAAACAAAACAAAGTTAGCACTTAAACCAGAGGGATACCTGAAGATGGCTTACTGTATCTTCTCTGGTTTTTAAACCAGCATTTGTAAAGGACCGTGGACGGCTTTAAAGACAATTTTAAAGCCAAGCCACTGTTGTGTGCACTTGTCTGACGTGTTTATTTTAAGAGGTTAGCTTGGTGTAAGTCACTGTTAGGTTGGTGCTTCGTAGCAACACAATAATCGATTCCTGATTACTGCACAGAGCAAAAGCCATGGCACTTAACGCAAGTCAGAGAGAGAACAGAGTGCTTACAAAGACTCAGTGGTTATGAACTGAGAAGACAGCTAACATTCAGAACATACTAAACCTATCCAGAGGTTACAAAAAGAGACATGGAAGGATAGAAAACGAGATGTAATTCCATGAGTAGAGGGCGAGACAGACTGTTTCGGATCAAATTTTGGCTGTAATTCGTTTTCATAGGAACAGGCTTATGAAATAAACTATAGTTAAAGTTGATCACTGCTAGGCCTCGGTATAGATTAAGTACCTGAATAAGAGTGAGAGCAGTGTTGTCAAGGGTCCCTGAGGGTGTCTAGGTAATGCAATTTAGGTCTGTAAGGTGCCCAGAGAGAAGCATCTTTTACAGACAGAGATGCAGTTCTTCAAACTTGCACGCTGTTTCATTGAGTTTCCATAAGAGCATAAAAAGATTAATGTTCCTTAAAAACAACTCTGAGGCGAAAACATGGTTGAACTGAGGGGGAAAAAATCGAAAGAAGCAAGCTTTGCACATCGTTTCTTACATAGGCACACACATTCACACTCATACACTTGAAAAAAAATTACTTTACACAAGGAAAACAGAATGATTGCAAAAGAGCGTTAGCCAAAAACTACTACGAAAGCTGTTGCAGTGACAAACAAACACCTTAGGTGCACCTTCTTAGGAAAGGGGATTTTTTTTTTCCTCGGGGGGCTATATTTTATATTCAAAACATCCGAATCTGTCCTGCGGACAACATCCAAAAAGAAAAGGAGAGCTTTTGGATTAACCAGCCTCTTCAAACAAAAGGACTGAGGGGTATGTACACCAGCATGCAAAAATATCAAGAGCGTCAACGTCCACGAAATCATCCGTCACTCCCAGCAAAGCGGTGTTTCGAGGGAGCCGCTTTTTCTAACAACTTGGCTGTCTGTTGGCTTCTGTGGAGAACCTGAACGGGGTTCATCGCCCCTCCACTTCCTTCATTTAAAACAGTCTTTTCTTTTCTAGACATAAAAACACGCAAAACCGTTCATTCTCAGTGCCTTCAGTATACAATCCCAACCCACCTGTGAAAAACCAGGCGAGGACTGATGGGTAAAGCCGATCTATATACACGACCATCCTGAAGATAAGCCATCACCCTCCCTGCAGCCCTTCAACCCACCCAGTGTGACTTCATATCTAAGTCATCTTCATACATATACTGTCTTTACAGTGTCCGCTTCAGGAAAAAAAGAAAAAAGAGACCCACCCGCTTACCCACCCATCCCCCCATTTCACAGAATCAGGCCTAAAAAGACTACAACTACACAAGATCCTAGTTTCACTACATCGTCTGTTAACAAAAAAACCCAAAAACAACCTCGAGCCGCCCTGCCCCTTTGCCCTATGCTACATCATGGGAAAATAGCAAGCAAGAACAGAGTAAGAAAACAAACACCAAAAGCGACAGAGTGGGAGCGATTTCACCGAACATACTGCACTGGACTTCTGTATTGTTTCCCTGAATCATCAATGGAAAAGGCTCATCCTCTTCCTTTTCAAGATAAAAGTATATGACATTAGAGATTTTTATATACATATGCATTTGTGTTTATGTCTGCGTGGGGCTTGTATAGGTATATCTATGTGCACATATAGAGTATTCTTTTATTCTTAAATATGTATAGTTAAATTAGAGGTTTGTTGTGTTTGCGTTTTTTTTTCTTACATTCAGTTTTTAACAACAATAAAAAGTTGATAAAGAGGTATGCAAAGGGAACAAGGTGGGGAATGTGTGGTTTCAAGTGTTTCACATACAGCGTTGGCCTTCATTCTATCAGCAAACCCACTTAGAAACAAAAGACTGGAGAGTTTGTTTTTTTAAAAATTCCATCTTTTACGGGGATTCAAAGAATGTCTTCTGTGAATCTTTCTGAACCACTGGGAAATAGCACGGTTTAAAATCGTCTTGAAAACAACAGCTCAATGCAGTGTGGGCTGTGAAAGGATTAAGACCAAGAATGTCGACAAATTAGAAAATAGAACATGTGGGAATGTGAAGCTAAATTAGTGTTTCAAAAAAAATAGACAAAGCAAACTTGTGGAACCTTTAGCGGCTACGACGCACTACATTTGGCAGGAGGAACAAAGAAAAATGACAAAAATGGAGATGAAAGTGTCCAGAGATGAGTGTTGATGGACAGGGTCTGACAATATAAGGAGGTCGTCAAGGTTACATGGATTTCTTTTCTGAGGTATTCTGTGTTGTACGTTTTTTTCTTTTTTACATTTTTGCTCACCAAAAACACCAAGATGAAAAAAAAGAGCGTCATCAAAGACTGAAAGAAAGAACAAACACAGCGTTATTTTTCCCGCACGTGGATTCAAAGCGCTCGTTCTGCTTTATTTTTTTTTCTCTTCTTGCTTTTAATGGAGCAGCGTCCTGTAATCTTTACATTTGGGAAGGCGACAGTCCGAGTCTTGTTAGATCTCCAGAGAACCAACGAGCTGGGCTGTTAAACGAGCGCTGCATGAGCCTCCCCTGCTATGAGTTATTCAGATTTACAATCCTTGCTGTTTATAAAGCACTGGAAAAGTATTTGGCTAAAAAACAAAGTACAGAATTCATCAAAAACAATAAAATACCCTTTCAAGTGATGTTCTTGCTTCCAGATGAGTGTGAGATCTCGTGACATTTAATCTTCTTTACAGTTTGAGAATTTGTATCTCACCCACCAAACATCCTGTCTGACGACCGACCTCCAATATCCACTCAGCGAGTGCCAGTCTGTCTGACCTGACAATCGATCTTACTCATGAGCCAGTGTTGTTCTTCAGCTTGACTAAAAATGCAGTGGTTATCTGCATGTAGTGTAGACTTCATAACTCGAAGGTAACGGAGAAGGTACGTGGCTGTCAGAGACGGCAAATTAAGCGAACGTCATGACGTGAAGGACGGCAAAAACAAGCTACAAGAGGATCACGGAAAACACACGGGCGATTTCAACGAAACACAACGCCTGCTCACTTTTTTTCTTGCTTTTCTTGCTCCCTCTCTCTCTCTCTCTTTTTTTAAACATAGAAACCAAAAGCCAAGCCCGAACTCATTACCCTGAACCATCAAAACAAGAGATCAAACCTTTAAAACACGGGGAGAGTTCATAAAATTTACACTACAGCTGAAATGTCAACCAAATCCCATACGAAGAATTTCAGTGGGTTTTCTTTCCTTCTAGAAAGACTCAGTATCTCAGAGGATAGTGATAAAAGAGCCTCATGCCCTGTCTTTAAAAAACAAATATGTACACAGTTAACCCAAGAAAAGAAAAGCTTCTGTGAAGAGTTACCAGAATAAAAACAGAACACCAGAAGAAGAAGAAGGAAATGGCGTTTATGAAAAGGCCTGAAGAAAGGTGACAGACCTGCAGCAGCCCAGGAACGCCCCATCTCTCTGGGAACAAACGAGGCCCTGTCAGCCCTGCAGCGCTCACACTCCAACGACCAAAGATGCTGTGAGAATGACACATAACCACGGGACAAAAAGTGACGGTATCAAGAAGTTGATGTCTTCTGTAAAGAGACGCGCCGGCATGACAGAGCATCACTGGAAACTTTTTATAGATAGGAAAGTCAAAATCGGACACATTTTCTGTAAGGAAAAAACCAACAGCCTGATAAAATCCTCTATGCAGCATTTAACTTCACCAGAGGTCCCTGAAAAGGGCTGATGAAGATTCACATGGATGTACAGCCTGGGAACGAATGAAAAGTGAGTTTAACTTTACCTAAGAGGAAATACGCGTCAGTTTTCAAGTCAGCCTTGTGCAGCTGACTTCTCTGCATCTGAATAGATTGCTACAGACATGACAGACTGAGGTAGCAACAATTTCAATCTTTGTGGTCTGTAGCATCGTGTCTTAGTCCGGTAGCATTTCCCTCAACACAAAGTACACTAGACAAAAGCAAATGAATCTGCCGCACTGCTCAAGTTCTACTAAAATATCCAAATTAGACCCTAAATCTTTGTGAACAGGTGTCAGCAGAGTTGGTTCTGAGGTCAGAGGAACAGAGACCAGCTGGTCCATGTAGGTGGCTGTAAAGGGCCAGACACACCTCCACACGGGAACGACGCTGCAAGATTGTCATGGCAACACACAAGAGCACCTCAGAGTTCCTTCACAAAGCCCCGAATTGCATTTTCACCCCCCATTGAATCACATTGAATCTGGTCAACTATTTTTGTACCTAAAAGCTTCAGATCAGCAGTAAAGTAATGTTGAGTTCTGAAGTGGATTTCAGCATCATCTCAATAAAAGCCTGATGTTTAACCGTATCGTGGGGGTGGGGAAGGCGACCTTCGGCGGCCTTTATTCTTCTCCACTTCACTTAGATTTCACCGTTGCACTCCCATCCACCTCCTCAGACCACTGCATCTATCTGACTGTCTGTAAGGAGGGCTGAGATGCACACCAGCAAAGAGGGCCTGCTGGGTAAGGAAAATAAAAAAAGTGTGCCTCTCACGGTGTAACCTAATCAAGCAGGGTAACAGGAGGGTGGGGCTGTGGATTTTAAACCTACAAATTTGACCCGAATCTCACGTTTTCTTTGAAGGAAAAATGCCACTCTTCAAGCTACTTTGTAATTTCAACCAGGTTGTTAGATTATACTTGATTAAGAAAGCAACCCTTGAGCACTAGATTTGAGATTGTTTCTTCAAATTCAAGATAAGAGTCTTCAAAAAGGCACTCTTGATTCCACTGATTGAACAACTTTATGTAATCACTTATTCGGCCCCGTAAAAATAATCAAAGCCTACTGGAAAAATGTTCAAATAACTTTTTATCCTTGGAGGGCATCGTTAGTTTGTGATTTGTGCCAAAGTACCCTGGCACGTCCACGTTTCTTTAATGCTGTTAAACAGCAGCGAGTGAAGGAGTCTGTTGTGTTGATTGCTGCAGATCAGCATCATTCCAGAGGCGTGTCTGGCCTTTAAGATCTGTACTCAGCTCTGCTTTCAAAGCCAACCTGCTCCTGAGTGACTGCTTGTCACAAACACTTTGACATTTAAAAAACTTGGCATCGCGCTCCGCGTCAGAGGAGGTGCACATTTCAACAGACCTCTTAGCAGCGCTTGTACAAATGTGTCGAGAAGAAACAGCACAGCTTACGATGGACGAGGAGAACCGTAACTGTCAGTTGATGCCGATTCTTACTTTGGAAAACTGCGTTCCGAGTGCAGTAGATCCTGTTGCAAGAGAGCAAAAATGATTCTTGGATATGCAGTTGGATATGTGGTTAAAAGAAAAATCCATCCCAAAGCACACTGGGCATATTTTTCTCAGACATGTGTCCAAAACTGGGATTAATTGTGGACTGCGGACTTAATCCATCATTTTAACTACTGGTGATATGCTGTGCATTCCTGCAGCTGGTTCTTAGACTGCAAAATCATTTTTGTCTTTAAGTAGATAAATCCAAGCCTAAAGCTCAAATTGTCTCGAGAGAGCAGCGTGCAATCCTGCAAGAGACAGTCGAGGAGCAATGCTTACTTTACCTTTATATGATTTGAAGTGTCTCGCTATAGGTCAAATGTGGGATTTTATTTAAAAACAGATAAAGAAAATGCTCCTACGAACATGCCTTCTAAATAAGACTTGAATGATTTATTGACGAGAAGTCATCCTTCATGTTTGTGCTTTTTGGCAAGCAGATACGACGCTTTACCACACGTTCTTTCTATATCAAATAAACAGCACGTTCTGCTATTGATTTCCCCACGTCCAGCCAAAACCGAATGCAGCCCTCGACTCCAAATCGTTCCATTTCTATTGCCTCACCACCCAATAAATTCATCCCCATCCTCCAGGCCCCGTGAAAAGAAGTCCTGGGAATTGAGGGTTGTCACTTACAGCAGCAAAAATAGACTAGGTAGCTTGAAGGAAACGTTCTAAAAAAGACTGCAGGAATGCACAAAGCACCGCAGACTGGCCACTTAGAAGAGAACAACTGTAGGGAGGATTTTTCCTTTACCAGAAAAAAGGAAAAGGAGTCTTTGTTGAAAGGCAAGAAACAAACAAAGTGATTTTCACAGAGGCAGTGCCTGCAGTGCCCCAGTGTGCCAGATCAAAATCAGCCAGCAGGGCTGATGTTCTGCAGGCTGTGGACAAAACACACCCACCTGCTTCTAAAAGAGACACGGCAGACTCCAGCTTCATAATTATACATATAATCCGCCCACACAAAGTGTGGCTACCTGATGAGGAGCGAGAATGTGTGTTGCTGTGGGTGCGTCACGTCTCTATTGGTTTGTGTGCGTGCGCGCGCGCTCTGTGCTAGCAAGAATACAGAACTGTATTCATGGAAACCTGGCTTCTGGCTTTTAAAGAATTCATTTTTCTTTTTTGTTTAACAAACAAATATGCCATTTGAAGAACAACAGTACAAACAATCACAAGAAAAGAAAATTTCAAAATCTGCTTATGTCAGTTACATCTAAAAATCTGGAAACGAGCCGCACTAAAAATCCTGATTCTTCTGGTTTCTGTGTTTCTAATATACAATCAGCTGCTTTGAAGTGGTCAGACCTGAGGTATAAATGACAACCAGATATGCAGCGTGACAGAATAAGAAACAGACGCAACTTCTCTGCGGAGAGGTGCACGGCAACCGTATACATAATTCTTTCCTTCCTGGTATCCCACCACATCGCGCACCGCCCAATGACAGAACGGCGCATCCCGTGTCGTCTAATAAGTGAGGTTACAGTAGTTGTTTTGTTTGTTTTTTTTGACATTTTTTTCTCCTTTTTATATCTTTGTCAGTCTTTCTCTCAGAAGAAAAAAAAAACAAATTGAATTACAACCGACCTAAAAAAAACCCCAAAGAGAAACTGATTAGCTCACATGAAGATGCAAAAAACAGTAAAAATAAATACATACATATTCATAAGATATAGCTTTTTTTCATTTTGAACATCGTTAAGGACATTTTCCTGTGCGTGCTGCATTTTTTTTTGTTTTGTTTGGGAATACAGTGTCAAATGTTTAAGAAAAAAATCACAGCTCATAAAGGAAGGTTAACTTGTCCACCTGTCCCCCAATCTCCACTGCTGGGTCTCTGATTTCTCTGGGTTTGAGAAAGAAAAAGGACAAAAAGTACCCTGGTCAGGTTTCATCCTGGAGTTCTGTTACACTTGGAAACAAACATATGTATATTTAAAAAAAAAAGTATTCCTTCTCAAACCAGGGTGGAACCAACCTGACTCACAGCCTCCAGGGTGAAACCAGATGACTGAATCTGTAAATGTTTAGAATTTTAGCAGGAAGAGGGTTTTACTCTCCCCATATAAGACCAACCTAAACCTGGGATAGCTATGCTATAATGTTTTTTCGCAAATAAAAAAAATACCTTAAAAGAGGTGGGTGGCAAGTATTGGTCAGTCAGACACTTGACGTGTCTTTTTTTGCAATGTGAAGGCGAAACAAAGAAGAAAAGCTTATAAAAGCGTAGAAACAGTGGAGGATACTGTATTTCCCAGAGTATCAACTACACCTTTGCCAAGCTCCCAGGTAAGGGATACGTGAAAGTACGAGGCACGGAAAGGAGTTCTGAGAATGAGGTATAGCGCTTGGTCTCTACTGACCAAGTTAGCATGTTGTGTGTGAGCGCGTGCGTGCGTACACGCGTCTACTAATTCAGTACAGGTAGTTAAGTCATGCGCCATTTTCCGACTGACAAATATTGCTGCCCATCCCACTGGCTCGATCCTGAGACATTTGCGGTATTAAAGGCTACTGAAAACGACCGTGTTTCCAATGACAGCAGCAGAAAGCGAAAGGAGAGAAAGCAACAGTCTGTTAAAAAAAAAATCAAGCATCTGCAGACTGCTGTTCGACGGATTCATGTCACTACATTCATTAACTCGAGTGTTTGTTATTTTGTCAGAATATAAATAGATAGACACGTAAGTGAGACTCGGTTGCAAGGAGGAGGACATTTTCGGACAGGGGGAGCGGTTAACCACATGACTAGAAACAATCAACGAAACCCAAGAGAAAAAGAAACAAAATAAATATATGTGTGTATATAAATGGCATGCACCTCAGTAGATAAGTTCAGGCTGAAAATGGGACTCGTGCTTTTAGAAAGCAACGACAAATACAGAGCCAAAGCCAGCTGTAACGTAACAGGTTCAAGAAAGGTCGAGAGGAAAGTTTTGTAGATGATTTAGTCACTTGAATAAATTATACAGCAGATATTGTTTGGCCCTCAAGGAATCGCCTCTCTCAGGGGATTTCAGTCAAAGTGCCAATTGAGTTAATTTATGCACACATGACGCCAATTACATAATGCATAAATGGGTTTTTTTTTTTTTTAAACATATTACATGACCAGGGAGATTGGTGTGAGGGAACACAATGTGAGATGTGTTTTGTTCCTACTTTCATTCACAGCTTTGGTGCCTTGTATCAAAGGCAGGTTCATAACAAGTGCTTTACTATCACCACTCAGGCTTTGATCCTGTTTTAACTATCAGATCAGTGCATTGTCCTTCGCTGGGTCCAACTTGATGCACGCGACAACCTTTTAGACACTTCAAATGCTCAGCATTGGCAAAGTGTTGGACGCATTTCATGCATATTGATTCCTGGCTATATTGTCCCAGGATTACTACTTTTTATTGTTGTTGGTTTTTTTTAGTTACTTCAGTTAGCTTTGCATGCCTGGCAGTCACACAAAGTGGACAACCAGTAACCCCAGGGGTGGGAGAAGATAGCAACAGGTAGTAAATGATTCTAATCATAACTAGATTGTGATTGATTCAAAACTTAACTGTGTTGGATTATTATTACTCTCAAGATTAATATTCTGAATTGGCCCAAACCCAAAATCAGCCAAAAATAGTGGTGCATGCCATTTGTTAAAAGAGAATAAACAAAATCAAATCAAATAAATAAAATGTACAATACATTTCAAAAGGAGTGAATCATCGTCATTTCATCTGAGCAGAGTTACAATTCTCATGTCAAAAATCTCACAGACTGGGTGAGCACCAGGCAGTGTCAGGAGCGAAGAGCGACATTTAGCGACGAGGGGGAGGGGAAAACAACGAGACAACACTACACAAAACTGAACTTGTTCAAGCTGTCAAACTTTTTTTTTCTTTTCTTTTTAAACGGTGGAGGTAATTGAGAGGAAAATAAGTGGTTTGGGTCCAAGCTGCACCTTTCAGAAACACTAAAGCTTTTTTTTATGCCATCTCTCTGACCTCCTCATTGCCCCCTCTGTTGTATTCCTCAGAAAAGAGCTACACTGCATGCATAACCTTAAACTTTCTTTCTCCTTTGTTTTTCTTCTTGTGTTTAAAAAGTGCTATCTTAGAGGTTCAGCGCCATAAATCCACAAATCCAACACCAGTGTTCTGTTCTTTTCCTTAAAGGTCTATCTGCTGCTATGGCACCGCCATATTATCCATATGGCCCTCCCAGAGTCAAAGCACTGCTGAGAAGCTTGCCGTGTCCTCTTTTCATCTACTATTAGGTCCAACAGGAAATTACCATATTTGTAATCCACATCTGTCTCAGTTACCCTGAGTTAAAAATGAGGAGAGAAAAAAAAACACCCAGAATCATGGATTGGCTTTTACATATTCAGTCATAATAAGTTATAATATATTAAAATCTGCCTTTCCCCCACCTACCAACTACCCCCGCCCACTGCATATTACCCACCCACCACCCCAAACTGAACACCCCACAATAAATGCACATTGTTGTAGTAAACTGCCTTTAAAACCATCTTTGAAGTTTTAGGGAGAAGAATTTCTTTTAAAACTCATGTGAGTTGCTTCTGCTTGGTTTTGATTAGAAAAAGGAAAGAAAAAAACAACATCAGCAATATGGTGTCGTTAGCTAAGAAGCCAAAATCCATTAGCTTAGGTTAACTAAAGCCTCTATAGGAACTGGATAATGAACTGGGTAGCAGCACAGTTTCACATTCTGATCCTAAAAGGCATTTGTCCAGTAACGATCTTCATGAGATGGTGAGCTCGCTTTAGTCACCGTTTGCGGGTGGCTCCGGCTTTCCAGGATCAGCAGTGAGAGACTGATGGAGGTCCGTGAGGTAGCATTCCGCCTTAAAAAACCCCCGCTGATCCATAAGCAGATCACCCCTTAAATTGTCCCTTGGCAAAAAAGAGGGTTAAAGAAGCCTCCTGCATCTGAATATGAATCAGCGTATGCAGGCGATGTGCACCTCTGACCCTTTGCAAAGTTGTGACTGGGCTTCAGAGACAGACCATAATAAGTGCATGATGCATGGGCAACAATGCCGAGGTAACCTGGTCTGTAAGCGCCAGACCCAAAATGTAGTGCAAAAGAAAGCAAAACAAATCAAACGAAAAGATAGAGGAAAAGAAGTCGATTACAGAAGTCAGTAGTGTCCACGAAACTCACAAACATGCATCCCTGAATGACTTTTGTGTCTTCTCGTTCATAAAAAGGATGGGTTATTCTTGCTTTTCGTCCGCACGGAAATTAGCAGAATATTTGAAGGAGGAAAGAAAAGGATTTTCAGTTAAAGCGTCATGGCTACCTGGCAATAAGAGAGTGGGTTTGATTCCGAACCCTAACTGAGGAATATCAATGGTACAATTAAACCTTACAGTTGCAATTTTGAGCTAGTACTTGATGAGCAAGAGGGGAGTGATAAAGGGACCAATTTGTCACTTCTTCTAAGGAGTTAATTTTCAACCTTCCCCTTATTTTTCCCCATCATTATCATATTAATCCAAAGCAGACTGCATTTATAAGCAGCGATGCTTCAGTGTATCAAGTTCATAAAAGACGGGAGAGAATTTTTGGGGGTTGGGGATTATCAGCATGCGTAAATAATTGTCATTTACCTAATGTCTTTAGCTGCATTTGTTAAGCCCCTGAATAGAAAAGCTGAACAAATGCTTCTATAGCATCGCTCAAATGACACTAGTTAAGAACCATCCGATTAGTTGTGTCTCTCCAGTTTAAGAATCCTCCTCATATAATCCCTGCATTTGTGCTCACCCAGATACTGCAAAGTAAATTGGCACAAATAAAGCCCCATCCATTTTCAAATTACTTAAGTCAGTTGAGGTTTACATGTGTAAGTCGTTTAGTCGATCGGTTTGAAATCGTCATCGATTTCTTCTTTTACATTGTCCTTGAGCTCGGCAGCTGCTAGCGATGCACCGTCGCCTCGTGGGGTTGCAGTGGGCGTGTTCTCCGACTCGTTGGGAAACTCCTGGCCTCCTGCTTCCATCTTCATCATCAGCTTGAGCTTCTTCTTTGGGGGGTTCTTCAGGGTCCCCATGCGCTCCTTGACCTTGTACTCCAGGGTGCTGTGTGGGATCCCATACATGTTCTGTGCCTTGGACACGCTCATCTTCCCGCTCATCACTACAGCTATGGCCTCCTCCAGAATCTCACTGTTGTACTGGCGATATCGGCCTCTCTTCTTCCTTGGCTGCTTGGAGCTTGGGTCCCCTTCCACATCTGAGATGGAGTACGCCGGCCCAGAACTTGAGTGGTCCAAGTCTGAGTTCCAATATTCAGCGGCCCCATCCAAGAGGCTCCCAAGGCTTCCTCCTCGGCGGTTCTGCTTTGGCAGAATGGCTCTTAGCTTCCGGCTCAGGGTGTTGTCCCCATGGCCACCACCCCCGACCCCCATGGCACCGTAGCCATAAAGCTCAGAGGAATGGGAATCCCAGGAAAGATCCATGCCCCGAACCTGGGGGATTTTCAGGTCAACAGGCGGCGAGTGGCCTTGGTCTCTCTTTCCTTCAATGTGATGATGTTGGGCCTTGGAAACCTGATTGTGGTGGTGATGATGAAGGGAACTCTTAAAGGCGAAGGCTCCGTGGTGGTTGTGGTGTTGATGCTCCAGGAATGTAGGCAGGTCTTTGAGGTCGCTCAAAGCTCCACTGGCTTGCTTCAGCTTCATTAGGCTTTCAAGGTGAGCCTTACTTCCCCAAAATGAAGAAGAACCCTTTTGGCCAAGCAAGGAATGGGACTGGCTATGACTGAGCAAGCCAGCTGACTCTAGATTAGACAGTGAAAGAGCAGGAGGTTGACTCAGAAGGCGATGCTTCTGGCTGAGAAGCTCTTCCTTAATACGCAGCGAGCGGGCCAGTGGGGGCTTGAAGGAGTTAGAGTTGACATATTTCTCCCTCATTCCGTCCTGCAAACTTTTCTGCAGCAGCCCATCCTCCTCTTCCGCCTCTGGCAGGGTATGATCTGCTTTGATTGAAAGTCTGGATGGAGAAGAAGACGAAGAAGAGAACTTCAGAAACACAGTTCTTCATATAAGATCAAAGTTATTTTTAAGACACGGGTAGATTTGAAACAACTGAGGTAATTACAAAAAAGAGAAAAGAGCAACAAACTGTATCCTGCACTTATATGAACTGATGCTTTAATACATACAGCATTGAGTGATTAATTAAAGCTAAAACTGACAACCTACTAAAACAAATCTTTGACATCTTTTATGCAACACGTTTTCTTTTTAAGCAGAATATTTGCTGTTTCCCACATTATTACTGAGCATCAATTAGCTATTTGCAGTTACTGCAGCTGCATTTAATATAACGTAGCACAAGGATGCATGGCATTATCGTTTTTTCTTTGTCTAAATAAATCTCAATTGCTGCTTTTTTATGTAACCCACTGCATGAAGGTGGTTTAATTTTGCCGTTACCAACAGAATTGTATTGTATTTATATTTCTACAGCAGTTGCCTTCCATAGTCTCTCCTTGCATGAGACACGATAGTCAGATGTTAACTAACAGATGCCAGGGTTGGTAAATAGTTGCTGTGATGGTAGTCCTTGTTCTAATCATTATTATTTAAGTATTACTGCCAGCTGCAGTGAAGGTGGAGTAAGTCTGGACCACAGGGCAAGAGGTTCTCTAGAGGGGAAGTTGAATGATATCAAAGACTGTCACAATAGAAACAGGCGAAGCCTTCTGATAAACACGGGACAGGAAGGGCCAACTGGCCTGAACACGACTTCCAAAATTGTTTGAAATATATGAAGAAATAATTAAAAATAATAAACATGCCAAAATGAGCTGCCCAATGTTTGGTTGGTTGTTAACATACCTGGACGGTGTGCCCAAATAAAGGATACGGCTGTGACTGCACTTTTTGAGTAGGAGAACACCAACAGATGCCAAAGAATATTACAGGTATCAGCCACAATCATTGCTTGTCATCAAACTTCAAAGTCCATACGAGTGCATTATCAATTAGAAGCACTATTTGTGGAATGCAAAGAATTGTCCAGATACATTTCAGAATAACAACAATCCAAATGTTGTGTATTATATTCAGTGGTTCTCAGAGGTTTCTTCCTGTTAAAATGAAGTTTTCCCTTCCCTGTGTCCTGTGAGTACTTACTCATAGGAGGGTTGTCTTTATCTTATAATATAAAGCACCCCAGGGCATCTCTTGTTGTGATTTGGCACTATGTAAATAAAAGTGAACTGAATTGAATTGAACTGGCCTAAAAGAAAGGAAATGAGTGCTGAGTTCATGCAACACTATGATGACATCTTACTCTGCGCTTGTTTATTATTGTGGAGATGGTTTAACAATAACAGTTTTCAGCTAGCGAGCAGGGCTAGAATAAATATTTTTGAACTTTTGAAGAATGTTAAAAAATGATAAATAAATATCTGAAATGCTCGAGTAAATGGCCAAAACGTACTGCACGGTATTTTCTGAAGTGGGTTTCGGGAACTCTACATAGACCTGTTCATGTATATTATGTATATTCACCTCACTCTTAAACTATTAAACTTAAGTTCACCACCTCTAGTGTAGAACCGCTGCAGTCAATGTTCCTACTGATAAGAAACTATACAGTAACAACAGTTTAAAAAAAGGCTCTTTAACAACAGGAAATAGACTTTCAAGCCAGAGATGAAACTTGAGACCAAATAACAAATCTCTGAAACTGTCCTCAGCAGGAGGTTAAAGACAGATTAGCACAGTGTCTCCCGTTTGTGGAAACAATGGAGAGTTAACAAAAGACTTTGGAGTGTATGTTCTAATAAAGTGTTTTATTACAGTAATTTACAGTTTTTAAAATTCAAAAGAGCAAATAAATGTGCATGAAAGTGTGGGATCCCTGAAGTGATCCCTGGAGGATCTGTTCAACATCTGGGTGTTTCATTTGTCCTTTCCAAGCAACCAAGCTCAGCTGGATTTTAAAGAAATATTGTGTCCTGCGGCCAATATTTAACTTTGTTAAATTTTTTTGTTCTCAGTAATTTAAGTGGATCTATTGTTATTTGAAACTATTTCAAACTAAAAGACATTTTCTTATACACTTTTGCAGCTCCTAAGTATCACGAGTAGCTGCCAGCAGTAGCAAAAGTATCATTTTGTGGAATGCTTGAATAAAAAAATGTTACGCAAACATGGTCTGGAAATTATTGACATGAATTGCCAGTAAGCAGCTATGCATACCTGCAATGCGTATACTATCCTGTTGACTGTTTTGAGGATTGTCTAACTGTGTAAAACATTTTGTGTTACACTGGCTGGAAGTTCAGGATTGATCTCCTGCTATAGCTAATATTACTAGAAGCCTCACTGGTAGTGAGGCTCATAGGCCTGGTGCCTCAGGACTTTTGAGACATTTCAGTCCTTAGAAAGAAGACCTATCCTCATAGGCTTAAGGTGCTGTTTCTAACTGTGTTTTAATCGTGTTGTGCAAATACTTCACCAAGGTTTACCTGCTGGGCTATAGCCTTGTTTGTCAGCAGGAAATCTGTTGCTATGTTAGGGTAAGAAAAAAAGCATCTGAGTGTCTGTCAGTTTTCACCTAATATTTTTCTGTTATAGTAACCTTGATCGCAATATCATTCATATTAGTAACAAACACAGGTGATCAGACAGGAACCAAGACTATCACAGAGTATTTGGGGTAAAATGAGGAAGCAAACTAAACTAAAACCTGCACACCACTACATCATGTCCAAATTTAACATAACATCTCAGTGCAGCAGTTGATAGAGGTGCATTTACAGCCAGATCAAAAGGAGAGTCCTGGCACGGTGGATGCAAGGTTTCCCTGCTCGCATATGATCTCTGAATCGAACCTGTTTCAATCCATATTTGACCTACAGTACAGATCAAAGGTTTTCATGAAAATGACCACCGCAATTAGCATGAATTGTTTATTCCCTCCTGACGCACACATGTACACACATGATTCTTAACACGACCTCAAGGAAATTTATGTTCATCAATAGTTAACAAAATGCAATGCAAAGAAAGTTCACTAAAGACACTGACAAAGGCTTCTTTTCTGCAGGACAAAGTCATGTTGATATTGCTATTGTAACACTGTTGGGTTGATGAAACAAATCTATATAAACTTACCATTAAACTGATGATAGTTCATCAGAGTAAAATCAATAAGTGAAGAATAAAAGCAGAGAAATGTGGAGAAACTGAATATGGGCACAATCTTTTCAAGACCTGCAGTCCTGTGCTCGGCTTTACAAAGAAAGTGTATTTTCTGTAAAATCAAGAATCTAACTGACTTTAATTCAACTGAATTCAGTTTTATTTATATAGCGTCAAATCCCAACTGCAGTCGCCTCAAGGCGCTTTATATACGGAGGAAAATTATAACAATCAAACATCCCCCTTTGAACAATCAAATGGCGACAGTGGGAAGGAAAAACTCCCTTTTAATAGGAAGAAAGCTTGAACAGAACCAGGATCAGGAAGTGGCAAACATCTGCCATGACCAGATGGAGGTGTTGGAAGGGACAAAAAACACCGTTTAAAAGAGAGTCAGAGATTAATAATAACTAATTAATAAATTTATCATCAGAGCGATGTAATAATTCATCCAGTTCAAGATCTATCGCAATTCTCGCCCACAAATTAACAAATGTGACCTTTTTCCCATTAGGTTGTCATTGTGGTGAAGTTCGGTTTAATTCTGACCAACACTGCAGGAGGTGGAGTGATTTTTGTGAACTGTAGACAGAGAGATTATGCCTCGCCACAACATAACCTTATGAATCCTTTGGCTGGATGAACGAATAGCATAGTACCGAATATAAACACAAACTCTTTTTATTGCCTACATGATTTAAAATCTTTAACATCTGAGAAAGATTTACTAGATTCTCGATGAAAGAAACTTTCTTGATCATCTACATGTTGTAGCTGTGCACTGCCACCTGGGGGCAGTGTCAAAACATGTGGAACAACTATGGACTACTCTTGCGAAGTAGCCAACAGATCAGTGTTTGTGGGCTGCTGTTAGCCCTTTAGCTTAGCCACGCCACGGAGAACACAGCAGTCATAACAGACAAAGAGATTTTTGCAGTGGACTGAAACTGAGTGTTAAAAACTGTGCAAAATATTTGCTTTGCTTCTTCTGTGGGCTTCTTTAAATTGCTGGTTATTTTTTCACACTTCTTCTCCTTCCTGTTTAAACCTACTTTTCAACCAGTCAGCATCCTTCCTACACAGAGCATCATCGCTGTCAGCCTACACGCCGTTGCTTTTTTGAAGTACCGCATGCAAGCACGTCTGTGTTGGTTGCATACCCAAAAATCCTGCGTAGCCAAAAAACCTACGCAAAACTGACACATACGTGGTTCCATGAATTACACTTAATGGTGGGGGGGAGCAGCAAGACCCCAACAGAGACACAGACCAGGAATCAATGACAACAGTTATGTCACAGAAGGGAGGAGGGCCTGGGGTGGATGTGGGTTGAAAAGTGGCTTGCAGATGTGCAGCAACTGTGGGCAGCTGAGGAGTGGAAGGGTGTCAGCTAAGTGCTTGGTTGAGCCTGACTCTGTGGCCTAGCTGAACTAACAGTATGGGAGCATCACACAGCTCTTTCTCAGTCACTTTTTATTTATTTTAAAAAGGCACTATTTAGTGATGACAGCCATATCGAGTATGCATAACAAGATAGAGTAGTGCAGTCATAACAAAATCTGATGACCTATAATTTACCTGTTAACAGCTCCCCACTTTCAACCCAAAGTGAATACAAGTTCATAAACTGACAGATCTACTCTGCAGCTCCTTTTCACGAAAAATAATCTATTGTGAATGCATGCAGTATATACTGATGGTGCAAATATTGACTGTACAAAACAGAGGAGAGATTATGCTTTTTATTTAGGTGTGTTTCATATAGTGGTGAAGGTCTATATTAAATATTGCTATAGGTTGAATAATGAGGCCAGTACCGTTTATTTACAAATAATCTCTATGATCCAAAAGCTCAGTTTGTCTCTCTAAAGTTCAGACAGTTTGGGGTCTTTGGGCTCTGTGTGATGTCAATTCCCTACTATTGTGATCTCAGCCAGACAGCTTTGGCTGAGACCGCAGCGTTCCCAAGCATTTGATCTTCCAACCTTCTTTTTGCCAGCAGCAGCCAATCAGAAGAAAGCTGGCATCATACAGAGGAGCTAAAATTTCTTATCTCACATAAGGTGAAATGAGAGCTCATTATAGCTGCCACAGAGAGGGTGCTGCACCACAGACTTCCCTGTGATTATTTTAGTTGACAGGCGATTGCTGCGGTTGCTCATAGTTTGTACGGAAGAGACTGACCAGTCTGGAAACTCGCCACTTACCCTCGGAGCTGCAGTGAAACTTGAAAAATCATGATGGAAACCAGAAACATTTGCTTTAAAAGTAACGTTTTTCTTTATCACTGCAACCCACACATTTCGAAAGATGCTGTTTCACTGCTGGTTGAATAGCTTGTGGGTATTATTTCTACGCCGGAGATCATCAACCGGTCACAGAATCCGCACTTTTCCTTAACACCTGGAGGTAGTCAGATGGTTGCCAACCAGTCTCTAGGCATGTGTGACTGGAGCCTAAAGCCACTTTAGCAGAGATCAAGAAAAAATATGGAGCTGTAGTTGAGTTTTATAGGGTTATTTAAGTTAAATCAAATATTCATTAATTAATAAGTATTTGGTAATCAATATGGTTGACAGCCATAAAGAGACTGCCAAGTTTTGTCTGTGAAGTGTAGTGCAAAATGACAACACTGCTTTATTTCCTTCACCAGTGCTGTTTCAGGCAAATAACTGAGCTGCTTTGGTTAGATAGACTAGTTTGCTTTCTTACCCTTTGAGTCCAGGTTTGGGGGTGAAGTTGAGCAAAGCTTTGGGGCTGCCTGCACTGTGGTTCTTCTTTGTGGAGAGGTCTAGGACGCCATCTGGGAATAAACAAAGAGGAGAGAAAAAAAAGATTAAACACAACCGACCTCCAGCTCTATTCAATACACTGCTTTTCTTTGGAAAGAGATGTAACCCTTACTGTAAATGTCTGTATATGTCTACAATTACATCCTCGAAGAAACTATTTCAGAGGGAGACAACAGTGTTTTTTTTATATTATTTTCTCTATTTGCGATTATTAATTTGTCTGTAATGCAAAACACAAAGTAAAAACAAAGAAAGGAATCCACGTGTGGCTGAAATTGAATCTATTAGGATTCCCACATACACTACCACCGAGCATTTGAAAATGTAAAAAGCAGGACAAATTTGTTACCTGCATATGAAATCGTAATATTTTCAGACCTTGCACGATCCATTTTCTTTTAGTATACTATGCATTTATATTTTCTCCTCTTCAGTCCAGTTTGATTTTCACCAGACATGTTTAATGCCCTCCTATAGAAGGTTTTGGATTGCAATCAAGATTTGATTAACCTGAGCAGGAAGGCAGTTGCCATGACGACCATACCATATTCCAGAGTGAATATGAGAAATCACCAAGTATAAACTCCGTTTGCTATACTGACAAATCCCCCATTATGTGTGTGTGTGTAT